TTTTTGAGATAATAAAATATTTTTGCTACCTTATTTACTCAACTAAACAAAAATTTTCAAAATTAAGCTTTGACATAATTATTTTACCCATGAAATTCTGCTCATCTCAACTCACTTAATAATCCCTCAAATTGTGTGGTTAAAGTTGAATTTTAAAGTAATTATTCAAAGAGCTGTAGTTTAAGGAGTGAAGAGGAGAAAGAAAACTCTAAGGAGAGAAGATGCTAGAAAATGAAAAAACAAATGTATGCATTATTTGTCAGCAACTCATCATTATGTGAGACCTTCAACGTATTAAACACAATACATAATTATTTTGGGAGCTTTTGGATCAAACTTAAGAGTTGTTGTTCATGATAGAAAGAGTCGAGATAGGTCATATGCTTCTCATTCTATGAACCCAACTCAACACATAAGCTATATGTTTATCACTCTGTGTACCCATCCAAAGCTCTCACACACACACAAATAACTAATCTGGATTTCAACAAAGAAGACCTAGACTCAGAGGAAGAACATAGAAGTTCTAAACTTGGAGGAATCAAGAAGAATTGCTGGAAGAACAAAATAATCTTAACCTAAACATGTCACAAAAAAAATGTATGAAAGATATCAAATATGCCAACAATTGAAAAAACAAAATTATTTTATTATGACAAAAAACTTTGATTCAGAGCTCGAGCTAAACTTCAAACAGCATTGCTTCAACACTGATGAATTATATATTTCTACAAAGCTAAACCAAAAAAATTTCCTTCGTAACAAACGAATCTAAAACAATCCAATGCAGACAAACGAAAAGCTAAAGGTTGAGTAAAAGGAATATGGTTTAAATAAATGTAGTGTAAGGGAAATATTTTATACTTATTTGATTGAGTGTAAAATAAATGCAGAATATTAATTCTTGTATTTGGTTTGAATTAAAATAAATTGAATGTACAGTTGCAGTGGTCATGGCCATGGCGGTGGTTGCGGCCGCCGGCAGTGATGACTGTTGGCAGTGGCAATAATGAGCAGCAATAATTTGCAAAAATTGACCAATTTTGAAATACACAATAAATGAATTAAAGGATGAGTTTTGAAGTTTCTCAAAATTTTGTTTTATGTGTGTGGGGTGTGGTGTGTGTGTGGGGCAAAGATCACCGCTGTTTGACCCCCACCTGAAAACCTAATTAATATGTTAGTAAGTGAACAGTTATGAAGTTGATACCATTAAGATTAGTGACGAAATAAAAATGGGGCATTTACAAACATATCAGCCAAATCCTATGTCTTTACATATACAACTCCTAAGCTTTACTTTTTACTTTTACATCACCCAAATCTTTATGACATCAAAAATATCACAATTTTAATTTAAAAAATAAAGAAATACAGCTTTTCATGTATAGATTAGAAGGCATGTATGTAAATATTGAAGTTTAGGGGTTATAAAACACATAAGAAAATGAGTGGTAGGTATGTAAATCCTCCAATAAAAATTTAACATAAGAAGCCAAACAAATTTACAAAACTTATATGATTGTAATAGAGTTTTACCCCATCCAAGGAGACTATAATTGATTAGGTTCTCGTGTTTAATAACTGTTTATGATTCTACAGATTTCAAAGACTTAAATGGTTAATTATAGTGCTTTTGTAAGGTATTAAATAATATATGACAGTGCCAATAGGCGCTCCATGTGTTAATAACAGTTCTTCTGCAAAAATAAAAAATAAAAATCCGTTTTTTTTTAATTTGAAATAACTCAACTAATGATTGCTTTCCCAACGGCTAACAAACAACAATCAAACATCAATTAAACTTCAAACACTCACCCGATTCAAAAGATCCTGCAGCGGAATATCGGGGTCGGTGATCGACCTAGCCCTAGAACTGGCATTCCTCGGCAGCCCCTGCTGTTTCTTCTTACCCATCAATGGTGATTTCGCCGAAAAAGACCGATCGAACACCTGCGAAGCCTCTATACTGTTGTTCTCCCGCTGCTGAAGCAGCAATACAGCCGCCTCCTGAATCAGCGATTCATCCACCTTCATCCCGCTCTGCAAATTCACCCACCCCTTGCTGGTCTCCGATTCCATGGCGGGATTCTTCTTAGCGAAACATGACGACATTCCTCCCATTTCGTCGTCGGAGGGGGAGGAAAGCAAAGGAGGCGGAATTTCAATTTCCGTCTAGGGTTTAATCCAGAGCCATAAAAAACCATCTTTTTGACGGTATGTTTGATGGAAATGGTCATTCAGCTGCCGATTTCCAAATTTTTTGAGTTTTTTTTTTCGTTTGGTTGCGTTTGGAGGTAGCTCTGGCTCTGTGAAACCGGTAGCTGTTTGGACGGGATGACGGAGTATTTAATTATTATTCAGGAAGATTTACACATATATAATTATATATATACCCAATTTTTTAAACTTAGATTTTTACAAAAATATCAATTTTATGAAAAGATGTTTTGGTTTTTTTTGAATTAAAATGGAAATACCTTTTATTTGATATGAAAATTTTTATAGATGGAGATATAAAAAATGAAATTTAGATGTGATCTTGCACCAAATTTTTCATCATCTGGCATGAATCTCGAGACATGATGCAGATCTCGAGTACAACTTTTGAACAAGAAACATTCAAACTTCGATTAAGAGTCATCCATAGCTCTGATTTCAACAAACTTATAGTCAAACTGACCGGCTCAATAAAACGGACCTAATGATATAAAAACTAGTCTAATCCGAGTTAGATCAAGCTCAGATCAAATCATTAAACCACTCTTGGAGGATTTCTGAAGACATTTGAAAGGTCAAATGAATGTCGAATCTAGCGAGTTTATATTCGAATCGAGCGTCTCGACAAGAAAAATCCTAAAATTGTCTAATTCTGGCATTGTTAAGGCACTCAAGTATCCATCAAACGTCATCTGATAAAGGGAAGCTCTCTAGATCGTCTGATCAGAACGCTATGAATAGTCTCATCCCTCACATGGGGGGAGGAGGCTTTGAGAGAACTTGAGGCTTTGAGAAGGAGTTCAAGTCGGACCTAATGATATAAAAATTAGTCTAATCCGAGTTAGATCAAGCTCAGATCAAATCATTAAACCACTCTTGGAGGATTTCTGAAGACATTTGAAAGGTCAAATGAATGTCGAATCTAGCGAGTTTATATTCGAATCGAGCGTCTCGACAAGAAAAATCCTAAAATTGTCTAATTCTGGCATTGTTAAGGCACTCAAGTATCCATCAAACGTCATCTGATAAATGGAAGCTCTCTAGATCGTCTGATCAGAATACTATGAATAGTCTCATCCCTCACATGAGGGGAGGAGGCTTGAGAGAGAACTTGAGGCTTTGAGAAGGAGTTCAAGTCCAACATCATCTTTGTCATCGTCGACCACCAACGACTGTCAACGACCACCGTCGGCTGTCGTCGACCACCAGCGACCGTCAGCGACCATCGCCAAGCGACCTCGACCACAGCCGACCGTCGTCCGCCATCAACCACTGTCGACCTCCATCGACCACGGCTCACTGTCGTCGACCACGGTCAACTTCCGTTAACCTCCATCGACCATCGTCGACCTCCGCTGACCTCCGTCGACCACCACCGACCGTCATAGATTGTTGTTGACTACCGTCTATCACCGCCGACCTCCGTCAATCACCGTCAACTAAACGTCGTTATGCAATGTTGTACCTTGGAAAATCTAGTAATATTTTCCCGTCTGTGGGACAAGGGACCTCTGTAATCGTCAATCTATAGTGGATTTTTATAACTGGGTCAGACCCCGTGGTTTTTTCCATTTACGGGTCTTCCATATAAAAACTTTTGGTGTCATCACAGGTTGATTCATTTTCATTTGAGTGTGTGTTGAGTCATCGCGCAAAGCTAAGACGATAATCTATTACTCAACCGCTGTGAATTTTCTAGCACGCATCAATTTGGCGCAGTCCGTGGGAAAGTTTCAATCCAATAACTAAAGTACTTACAGGGTTTACTATATGGCCACCAGACACAATGTTCGTAACAATAGAGTATCCCGCTCCAACACCCATCGTTCCAGGGAGCAGTCATGAAGCGAAGGGTGGCATGCTTCTTCATCTTCCTGCCCTAAAAGACGTTATCCCTCCAACGAAGGTGTTTCAGGTCCTTCAATAGAAGATCGAATGCGTAGAATGGAGGATTTTTAACTAGAGATCCTACAGCTCCTACGCGGGGCTCAATAGTCGATGCCTACACCATTGGATGAAATTCATTTAACATTAACTCCATGACGTACGAGAAACATACCGCTCGGAAGAACTCGTACTAGCCAGACTCCTCAAGAAGCAACACATCCCCTGTTAAGTCGTGATGCTGAACTCCTAGATACCGCAATTTCCACTCATCCATCTCGTGCAGCACACCAGCTCACCCGACATCACCACATCTTCCTGCCATTCCAGATAATGTCATTCGTAACTAACTATGACGCCTCGTCCGGGAAGAGTTCCTCTTAGAGAAAAAGGATCTCTTCTACGCTCACCGTAACATTCATGAATTTTCTCCCTTAGCGGATGTGGTCCTCCAACACCTCATCCCAACAGGCTTTAAGCTTCCGAACATCGATACATTTGAAGGGATAACCGACCACTACGAGCATATAGATCATTATTAAACTATCATGCACATTCAACATGTCTCGTTCAGCGTGCCTCTGATGCTTCTGTGTCAAGTGTTTTAGGCTACTCTTAAACTACTCTTAAAGGACAAGCTCGAACCTGGTTCTACTCTCTACCGGGGGGCACTATATACTGTAAACACCTTTAACAAACTTGTCAAATTGTTCGCGGAGTAGTTCATCACAATTTGAAGGATCATAAAGGATTCATCTGATTTATCGGGAATTCATCAAAATGAAGGAGAGTCGCTCAAGGACTACTTCCGCAAGCTTTCTGCTGAAGCCCGTCAGATTCCAGGGGTGGATCCAGAGTTACTAAGGGGGGTCTTCCTTGGGGGGCTCCGTCCAGGACCTTTTTTACTCATCACTGATGCAGGAGACAGTTCGTTCATATGCCGACCTTGTCCACCGTGTTAAGGCCCAAATCACTACGGATGAGGCCATCAACGCACATAAAGAGCAGTTCGAGAAATTTGGAGGAAAGCACAAGAATAACACTGGCGATAATAATCAATCTTCGCAACAGAGAAAGTCTGAATAACAGAGAAATTGCGACCTCCTTCTTCAACCTGCAGGCCAGCCAAGTGAGTATCGAACTAAGAAGGAGTATGCAGTGTTCAACACATCACGTGCTAATGTCTTAATGGCATCAAAAATGAGCAAGCCATTAAATGGTCTCACCCCCTAAAACCTAACTCAGGATGAGCAAGTCATTAAATGGTCTCACCCCCTAAAACCTAACTCAGGGAATTAAAAACAATACTGTCATTTTCATCGAAGTCGTGGCCACTCCACTGAAGTGTGTAAGCAGCTCAAGGAAGAGATTGAAAGATTAATTAAACAGGGATATCTTAGTTGATTTGTACAAAACAAATCAGTTGGTACTGATAATGCTCCTACTTGGGGGCAACATACACCAAGGAAGCAACATGGGGGTCACCCAGTCGTAGGAAAAATTTAAACAATTGCTGGAGACCCATTGCTGAATGATCAAGTACTTACCACTGTACCTAGTGAACCAATGCAGAAGAAATTGTGCCTAAAGCCTATCACTTTTGATGATTCTGACTTGGAAGGCGTTCGAGTCCCCCACCAAGATCCTCTCGTCATTAGCGCAAGAATTGGCTAGCTCTGCTATAACGTAAAGAGGATCCTGATCAACAATGACAGTTCAATCGATGTCTTGTTCTATTCAACTTTCCTCAGTTTGGGATAGACTAGGGAAAGAAAGACTTCAACCTGTATCCGAACCATTATATGGTTTTGATAATCCACCAGTGAGGGTCGAAGGGACAATAAATCTCCCTGTTACCTTGGGAGATTTTCCTCGATAGATAACTCACTCAGTTTAGTTCATTGTGTCAAATCAAAAACGACATATAATATCATTTTCGAGAGATCACTACAGTCAATCTTTCGCGTCGTGACTTCTATAACACACTTTATGATCAAGTTTTCAACCCCAGTAGGGATCGGCATTATGTGAGGTGATCAACAGACAACACAATCATGCTACCTCAGACAAGCTCAGCCGCACCCATCAATGACAACTAGCATTAAGAACTTCAATCTTTGAGATGAAGATCTATCTCAATGAGTTTCTCTCGTGGATGACTTGGTTCAAATCCCACTCTCTGACGAACATCCCTCGAGAACAGTGCAGCTTGGTTCCCTATTCTCCGATGAGTAAAGGTCGGAGTATGTAGACCTTCTCAAAAGGAACCAAGACATTTTTGCATGGACTCCGGCCGACATGTCTGGAATTGACCCAGAAATAATCATGCACTCTTTACATGCACTCTTTAAAAATAGACCTTAATCATGCACTCTTTAAAAATAGACCTGATTTTTAAATCAGTCATCCAGAATTAGCGCAATTTTGCCCTAGATCGCTTACAAGCTATTGAACAAGAAGTCAACAAGCTTCTTGAAGCAAAGTTCATACGAGAAGTACATGATCCTGCATGGCTAGCTAATATCGTCATGATGAAAAAAACTAATGGTTCATGGAGAATGTGTATCGACTATACATGTCTCAACAAAGCTTGCGCGAATGATAGTTTTCCCCTCCTGTGCATAGATCAACTCGTTGATGTCACTTCTGGACATCAGATGCTAAGTTTTATGGATGCATACTCAGGTTACAATCAAATAAAGATGAACCCAATGGACGAGGTGACCACCTCTTTTCAAACAGATAAAGGTTTATACTATTATCAGGTTATGACATTCGGGTTAAAAAATGCTGGTGTAACTTATCAACGACTCATGAACAATGTCTTCAAAAACCTTTTTGATCGTACAATGGAGGTTTATGTTGATGACATGTTAATAAAAAGCTTGGAAGCATCCCAACACATTTCTCGTTTGAAGGAGTGTTTCCAACTCCTTCGTAAATACGATTTACGACTTAACCCAACTAAATGTGCTTTCAGAGTCACATCAGAGAAGTTTTTGGGATTCATGGTTACCCATCGTGGAATTGAAGCAAACCCAAAAAAAATCAAGGCATTAAGAGATATGGTGCCCCCAAAGAACATCAAGGAGGTTCAATGCTTGAATGGTCGTATAGCCACTCTATCCCGTTTCTAAGCTCGTTCTGGGGATAAGTATTTGTCATTCTTCAAAATACTTAGAGGTGCTCAGAACATTGATTTTTAATGGACAGATGACTGTCAAATT